GTACCAGACACAAAAGGCCACATACTGTGTGATTCCATTTATTTGAAATGCCAGGATAGACAAATCCACAAAGATGGAAAGCAGATTAGTAACTGCCAAGGGACAGAGGGAAAAGAGAGAGGGGTGATTACTTAGTGGGTACAGGGTATTCTTCTGGGATAATAAAAAAGTTTTGAAAGTAGAGACAGGTGGAAGTTGCACAACATTGTGAATTCAATTAATGTCAGTGAAATGTATACTTTAAAATGATTATTTGTAGAGCTGGCCCCATGGTCACTCGGGAGAGCGCGGTGCTGGTAGTGCCAAGGCCATGGGTTCGGATCCTATATAGGGATGGCCAGTGCACTCACTGGCTGAGCATGGTGCAGATAACATCGTGCCGAGGGTTGCGGTCCCCTTACCGATCAAATAAAATAAAATAAAATGATTTATTTGTATATTATGTGATTTTTCGCCTTAATTTTAAAAAAGCATGTATATCAAAGAAAAACTACTACATTAAAATTAAGTCACTCTTTGAACAAATGTTTGGAAATGCTGTTTGGAATGTTTATACTTATTCCAAAATGAGTCAAGGTTTCCCACAACTTAGTCAACTGGACAAGAGGAGACTGATGATACAGCTTCTTGAAGGACGTGGGTGGGCAAAGTCCTGGCCGCCCTGCAAGGTCAGCCACAAGAACACGGCAATGGAATGGTTTTGTCCCAAATGCCAATTTATTTTATTTAACACACTCAGCGTATATACTAAATGTTATTCTTAACTTATAATGTCAAACAACATATCTGTAATACTTTTTTTTTTTTCTTTTTTTTGTCTTTTTTTCGTGTCCGGCAACAGATCGCAACCCTCAGTGTCGCGCCCGTACCGGACCGGGACCGGCAACGGGACCGCAACCCTCGGCGTTGTGCCCACACCTCGCTCAGCCAGTGAGTGGGAACCGGTCTGTATGTGGGATCTGAACCCTCGGCGGGAGCGCCGCCACGCTCCCAAGCGGCGCACTGCTACAGTGCGCCACCGGGCCGGCCCTTTATCTGTAATACTTTTTAAAGTAACAGCTTACTATGTGTGTGCAAGCTCTTCTTCATTTTTCAAAATTAACAGCGCCAGGGGCCAGGGTAGCTTTCTTTCATTCCAGAGGACTCAAAAACGATCCAGTGAGCAAATGTATTCAATTGAAAAACAATTTTAAAAGGGCTTTTTTAAGAAAAAGCCTTTATTCCTACATGTGATTTTATTCTTTCCCTCTCCAATGGCTTCTCCATAAAACACTGGTATATGAAATCCTCTCAGCCAAAATACAATTTAATGTATTATATTACTGACTCATCAATTACTCCAGGTTACTTGTAACTTGCTCTACTGATTCTTTCAGGGCTGCCCCATATGTACATCTCAGGGTGTTTCTGTTTTGTAAAATGTCACCTTTTAACACATACGGATAAGTGGCCTCTCAGCTGGATACAATTCTGTTAATAAATTACTGAGTTCTTTGACTACAAGGCAGTAAACAACTACAAAGTACGCTCGCCAGTATTTTAAATGCCAGATTGCCAATCTGGGAGTGAGGGAAGCACTAGATCAGTATTTCCAAAACTGGAGGGCTTTGGTTGAGACATATGACTGGCAGTCATGGACTACAACAGGAAAAAAAAGAGAAAACTAAAAGATTTACTTAATAAGTGGAGCTGGCAGAATAATCTTAAAATATTAGACCTTGGAAGAAAAATAAGGGATACCAGTGGGAACCCCTGGGGACCACTGAAGTCCAATCCTAGTTACACACTAAGTCCAGTCACAGCTAAACACCTGTGATTCAATCAGGGGTAAGAGCTCTAGAAGCAGATCCAAGGAGTAGTCATGAGGTCTCACCTACCTCTTGGCCGAGGCTGGAGACTTGGCTACAATGACCGCATTCCTGTAATCTGGGATCTGTGACAGAAAAGAGGTTGGAGATTACTTCCATGGTTCTAAGAGGCTATTCCGACAATAAATAAAAAGGAACATTCCAACAAACTCAAATATGTCATCTGGTTACTTGGAAGTTCTACAAAAAAAGGAAGAAGTTCAAAGTAAAATTCTCCTTTGGAAAATGAAGAAACCCCTAACAAGGAAAAAAGTATTACTAACATGTAAGCCACACAGACTTCTTTTTTTTTTTTGTCTTTTTTATCTTTTTCCGTGTCCGGCAACGGATCGCAACCCTCAGTGTTGCCCCCGTACCGGACCGGGGACCGGCATCGGGATCGCAACCCTCGGCGTTGCTCCCGCGCCTCGCTCAGCCAGTGAGCGGGAACCGGTCTGCATGTGGGATCCGAACCCTCGGGTGGGAGCGCCGCCGCGCTTCCCAAGCGGTGCACTTATCCAGTGCGCCACCGGGCCGGCCCCACACAGACTTCTTTTAAGAAGAAAGTAGGGATATAAGTGATTAGCTCATATCTCTGTGCCAGAAAATACTGATAACACGGTATAAAAATGTTTTTATAAAGTCAATAGGAAGTCCTCTCATGAATCTCAATTACATGTAATTTCACAGTACAAGGATGATATCCATCCAGTCTGAATCCAAGTTAATTGTCAATTTCCAAATTAGTGTGGTCCAAACAGATGACTACTGAACACAGTGCAGTCACGATGTGTTAAAGAAACCAATTTGTCAAAGGACAATCAGCCCAGTGCTATTTTAAAAAGATATTAAGGGTCTTTTAAAAACAAATCAATAAAAATATCAGCTGCTTTGGAGTCTTTTCACTGTTAAAAATTTTAGTAATCTGTGCCAGTGATGATTATAATCAAAGATTATCAAGGTCTGAGAGTGTAGAAGATAGAGCTATTTTTAAGCTGAGCAATGGTTTGTTGTTTCCAGCTTACTCTTGACAATATTTTCAAGTTATGTTCTTGAACCTTAACCATTTCATTCAAATATACTCCTACTACTTTTTTTTCTCACAATTATGTCAATGAATTTTAATATAAGCAGCTAACAACATTTAGCACCTTGTACAATGCCTAGCACATAAGTAGTAAATAACAAATATTTAGTAAATGAACAAAAAACGAATGCATTTTTTTTTTTTAATAGATGACCGGTAAGGGGATCTTCACCCTTGACTTGGTGTTGTCAGCACCACGCTCACCCAGTGAGCAAACCGGCCATCCCTATATGGGATCCGAACCCGTGGCCTTGGTGTTATCGGCACCGCACTCTCCCGAGTAAGCCACAGGCTGGCCCAAAAAACGGATTCATTTGAAGAAGGATCTAGTACAGGAGCATCCAGCATAATCACCTGGATCAGATGTATCTATAGGAAAGCTAAAATCATCCAACACTCTCAGGGAGTAAGGCAGTAAAATCTATGTTCATTAAGACACTTTCATTATTTTTGTTGGAAGTCCTTCTAAAACTGTTTTCATGTCATTTCTCACCTCATCAAACTTCATCAAACAGCACCAAATCCAGCCAAGAGAAGATATAACAACCAAGGAGACAGTTAATAAAACCAATGAAAAGAGACTTAAAAGAAAGGACTCTGTAATAAAAACAGGTCTATTGTCTCTTCAGAGTAAACAGCAAATTGTACCATACAAGGAAAGAAAAAGTTGTTATTAAAAAGAACGAAAAAGAAATCTAGGAAGAGGAAGTTATTATGGTCTGGATAAGAAACTCAGTAGCTGGCTGACTGAACAGCAGAATGGACACAGCTTAAGAACCTGCAAGAATCAAGCCAAAGAATTTTCCCAAAATGCTATATACAAGAATGCAAAAACTGAAATAATAAAGTTAAACTATAGAGACCAGATCCAAAATTTACAGGATCTAACAAGTCCCAAAGGAAAAGAATAAAAAATAGAATGGATGGGGCCAAGCCCGTGGCGCACTCGGGAGAGTGCGGCGCTGGGAGCGCGGTGGCGCTCCCGCTGCAGGTTCAGATCCTGTATAGGGATGACCGGTGCGCTCACAGTGCTCACTGGCTGAGCACGGTGCAGCCAGTCTCAAAAAGGACAAAAAAAAAAAAAAAAATAGAATGGATGAAATATTCAAACAGAAAAAAATTCCCAGAGAACAAAAGGGACCCACTAGTGAGAGGAATGGAAAAAAGATCCACCCAGACACATCACAATTAAACTTCAAAACCACATGCAAAAGGATAAACTAGGACAAGTAGAACTTCAGATGGGGGAAATTTTGCTCAAATTCAAGTAATATAGTATTGTTTTACCCATTAAATTGGCAAATTTTTTTCAAAGTTGTAATGTTAAGCATTAGGAAGGACACAGGGAAGCATGTAGTGTCATATGAGGGCACTTCAAAAAGTTTGTGGAAAAACAGAACTAAAAGATAATATGAATCTTTCCATGAATTTTTTTTTTTTTTTTTTTGGTCCTTTTTGAGACCTGCCGCACTGTGCTCAGCCAGTGACTGCTGTGAGCGCACTGGTCATCCCTATATAGGATCTGAACCCGCAGCGGGACCAGCGCCGCACTCTCCCGAGTGTTCCACGGGCTCGGCCCTTTCCATGAACTTTTTGAAGTGCCCACGTATGTACTACAGGTGGGAATGTGGAACCACAAAGAATCAAATTGCCCTGCACCACAACGTTCCTTTGCTACAACCCTACCCTGTCCCATTCAAGTTATTATGGTCTGGATAAGAAACTCAGTAGCTGGCTGACTGAACAGCAGAATGGACACAGCTTAAGAACCTGCAAGAATCAAGCCAAAGAATTTTCCCAAAATGCTATACACAAGAATGCAAAAACTGAAATAATAAAGTTAAACTATAGAGACCAGATCCAAAATTTACAGGATCTAACAAGTCCCAAAGGAAAAGAATAAAAAATAGAATGGATGGGGCCAAGCCCGTGGCGCACTCGGGAGAGTGCGGCGCTGGGAGCGCGGTGGCGCTCCCGCTGCAGGTTCAGATCCTGTATAGGGATGACCGGTGCGCCAAAAGTGCTCACTGGCTGAGCACGGTGCAGCCAGTCTCAAAAAGGACAAAAAAAAAAAAAAAAATAGAATGGATGAAATATTCAAACAGAAAAAAATTCCCAGAGAACAAAAGGGACCCACTAGTGAGAGGAATGGAAAAAAGATCCACCCAGACACATCACAATTAAACTTCAAAACCACATGCAAAAGGATAAACTAGGACAAGTAGAACTTCAGATGGGGGAAATTTTGCTCAAATTCAAGTAATATAGTATTGTTTTACCCATTAAATTGGCAAATTTTTTTCAAAGTTGTAATGTTAAGCATTAGGAAGGACACAGGGAAGCATGTAGTGTCATATGAGGGCACTTCAAAAAGTTTGTGGAAAAACAGAACTAAAAGATAATATGAATCTTTCCATGAATTTTTTTTTTTTTTTTGTGGTCCTTTTTGAGACCTG